ATTCTGTGATGCTAAACAATCTTGAAGAATGACTTTTCTTTACCATAACAAAACCATTTCATGCAAACTCCGTGGCCTGTAGCCCGGCAGCGAACTATACCGATCGAGCGACCGCCGCTTGTCGGCGAAGGTAATGCCAAATTTTGCGGATAGACGGTGTCACGTGGTCAGCGCAACGGATCTCGGTTTTCTAGACCGGAGCCGCTATTTCCTTGAAATAGCTCCTCAATTATCCTAACGAGTCTGAATGGACCCTGTTCTAGACTCACTGCTTCTCAGAAAATTTTGAAGCGCCGGGAATCGAAACCAGGACCTCCGGATCTGTAGGCAGGAACTCTGACCACTAGACCACAGAGGTGTCCTGATAATAAAACAGCACGTCATACCTTCAAATATTATAAGGAATGTGATAACATTAAGCAACCTGTAAAATGTATTTATGACTTCCACGCAATTCCGCTTATAAATAACGACCGTCACTATTACCGTCAACTTAACGAATTTGTTGACTCGTGCATTTTCTTGGCGGTGGGAACCGAATCGCTCAATACTTCATACAAGTTTTAAAGTACTTTTCAGCCAACCGCAGTAATCAGAAAATCAAAATACCGCTACACTGATGTCAAATCCTACAGCTGTGAAGTTGGCAAAACTGTACCTGTGCTCAACTATTTAAGTACTACTCCCTGAAGGCGTATGGGGAAATGGTTGTTTAGATCTACATTTTCTTGACCTTGGCACTAGCTGCAGTGGTCAGCTTCATGCCCTGACAGCTTTACCCCCGGGGAAAAAGCCCCGGTACATATTGGATAGGAGTTTGGGTGGACCCCAGAGCCGGTCTGGACCACGTGAAGAAGAGAATTGACCCTACCGGGACTCGAACACCGACCCCTCGGTCGTCAAGCCCTTAGCTAATCTCTGTACTGACTACCATATCCCTGCTCCTGTCCTACAACTGTATGAGTTTTAATTTCATGCCACTCTTAACAGAAGGATGAGAAAGCAAAGAAAGTAAAGAGCGGTATTGAGTATCGCTCGCTTCTCTTATATAACTTTCGCTTTTCATCAGCCGAGGTTCCACTACCAGTGCAAGTATCATTATAGCACCTCAAGAGTGCAGATGACGAGACGTTACTCTTAATAAATAAGGGTGTCACCAAGTAATTCCCTTTGTCAGTACAGAAGGCAACGTGTCAGAATATCCTCATGTCCACGTTACACAAGACTTTTACATTGTCAAAATCACCAGTGGTCTCAATATATGACACACTTGTTCAGGAGACACGTTTCTATAGGGCTACAGACGAAGTCACGATAGGTGTAACTAAAATCAAGGTCAACTTTGATCATAAAACGGCAATTTCCTCATCAGCGTTAGAGTAAGCAATGCCTGCTTGATACGAGTTTTAATATTAGCACATTGTAACGCAATTTGTGGCACGCGGTAACAAGCACTACACAATCGGAACGTTCGATCACCAAGACAACACAATTGGAGCGTTCGGTAACAAGCACAACACAATCGGGACGTTCGGTAACCAAGACAACACAATCGGAACGTTCGGTTACAAGCACAACACAATCGGGACGTTCGGTAACCAAGACAACACAATCGGAACGTTCGGTTACAAGCACAACACAATCGGAACGTTCGGTAACCAAGACAACACAATCGGAACGTTCGGTTACAAGCACAACACAATCGGGACGTTCGGTAACCAAGACAACACAATCGGAACGTTCGGTTACAAGCACAACACAATCGGAACGTTCGGTAACCAAGACAACACAATCGGAACGTTCGGTTACAAGCACAACACAATCGGGACGTTCGGTAACCAAGACAACACAATCGGAACGTTCGGTTACAAGCACAACACAATCGGAACGTTCGGTAACCAAGACAACACAATCGGAACGTTCGGTTACAAGCACAACACAATCGGGACGTTCGGTAACCAAGACAACACAATCGGAACGTTCGGTTACAAGCACAACACAATCGGAACGTTCGGTAACCAAGACAACACAATCGGAACGTTCGGTTACAAGCACAACACAATCGGGACGTTCGGTAACCAAGACAACACAATCGGAACGTTCGGTTACAAGCACAACACAATCGGAACGTTCGGTAACCAAGACAACACAATCGGAACGTTCGGTTACAAGCACAACACAATCGGAACGTTCGGTAACCTAGACAACACAATCGGAACGTTCGGTATCCAAGACAACACAACACAAAGATGCAACACGCAGAATGCACGCTGTAACTCGAGTGTCGTCGTGACGCTCAGTGCAGTTAGTGAGTGACGGACCTGCCGTGAGGAGGCGTCGCGAATCGACTACTCGGTCTTAGTGCGATAATGGCTTATGTACAGTTACGTAAAAGAAATACTAAAAAATAACAGAGTATTCCAATGTTGAAAGTAACAATGTGGGCTAGTCTTATACAAGGCATGTTACAGTATTAAGAGATGTTATTTTCTGTGATGTGACGCCGTCTTTTCCAATAGACTCTTATCGACGCTCTCCGACAATTCGACGAACTTCGGTCAAAATACACTGGCGTCATATCTGAGAAGAGATTGTCCTTCATAGGCAAAGTTGTGAAAACCTCAAATACAATTTACTGTATTATTTAAGATTTTGTATCTTTTGTTATTCAGGCACTTTATATCAAATACAGATGTTATTTAACTGTCAAATTATGTGACAATGAATTGAGAAGGATGATATAGAAGGGAGTTAAAGATATTTCCCAAATTTCAGCAGAATAACCTGAAGGTAAGAGACCAGTAGGAAGACCTAGTCGCAGATGGGAACATGAGTAATAAAGAAGGTAGGATATAGACTAGACTAATGTGGTTTAGGACAGAGACCAATTGTGGACTATTGCGAACTCGATAAAGAAACTTGAATTCCACAAACTGCAACTGTTGGTTTCTCAAAAAGCACTCCGTGCCATGGAGTTACTATGCATACACAATTTGAATACTGAGTATTTCCTCACTAAAAAGAAAAGAGAAAAAATTTATTAGTATTCAGTAGCAGGAAATGACAGAATTAGTAGTAGTTCCACTCTACTATGGCTCTACAGTTCTTTATTGGGCCCTGGTCGCTTTTTCAGTTTCTTAACCTATACACAGTCTGTAGGACTCCTTTTACGGGGGATCAGTCCGTCACAAGGCCGCTACCTACACACAGAACAACATGAACAGAATGAAAGCACATAGACATCCATGCCTCGAGTCGGATTCGAACTCACGACTCCAGTGTTTGAGAGGGCTAAGACCACTGCGCGGCAACTCTGATCGGCACAATTAGCAGCAGTTGAGAAAAGTAAATACAGATGGCAGCAATACACGGCACTGGAATGTATGGGTGAATCTTCGGTATTACATTAAGCTCAGTGGAACTATGGTAATAGAAATCGACGCTAATCCCAATTTCCAGTAATCCAAACTGATTTATATTACCACAAAATAGGCATCTCCAAAAATTACAAATGTAATCTAATTATACAGGGTGTTCAATGAAGGGGGAAAATTCGCAACACCGCTGACCGGGCCCAATATTCCTCACAGATTGCTCCTGTAACTGTAACGGCGCGCGTTTGTCAGCTCTAATGACACATTCTGCTATCAGCAGTTACAGCAGCAATCTGTGAGGAATGTTGGGCCGGGTCAGCGGTGTTGCGAAGTTTCCTCCTTAACTGAACGCACTGTATTATTTTATTTCACAAGAAATAAATTCTTATGAGAGCATGCGCGTTAATGGACCTGTCTCTTTACGTAGTGAAAGATGTAACCCGTTTACCGCTTGCTCCGAGCATGTCGTGAAGCCGAACATCTGTAGGTTCCGGCCGCTATTTATATAAAAATGTACCTATAAAAATTTAATAAATAATTTTACTAAAACGTTCGAATTTCATATTAGAAATCCAGAAATCTGAAGGACTGGTAAGTGCGAACACATCAGTACTTCTAACAGTTCGAATTATCGAGGTTGTACTGTGTTTGCTTTCAAAGTGGTTTACTAACTGCTTTACTCGTATAGCGGCTAGGTAAAAAGGTAAAGCTATCCATGTAACAAGCCGTGGAGGGCCATAGGTTTCGAGACGTTGAGGCTCCCTCATTTTCTAAACAAATGGCTCACAGATGGCGGTAAGTTTGTCAGCCTTATGGTCCGGTCGCCTTTTACCCTCAGGAAGATCCCTGGTACTCATTTCTGATAGAGTCTGAGTCGACCCCAGGACCATAATGCGACTGGAAGGATTTGGTCTATTGAAAATATTTAATGACATCGGGAATCTAACCCCCGATCTTGCGGCTTGCAGCATATTGCCTCTGCAAAATCTACTATCGCGTGCCGCCTTGCGGCTAGGTACTTCTGACAAAATTTGAATTTCAGCGTCTAAAATGTTGCATATGAACACAATTGTTTTCTAAATAGATTTAATATCAAGCGATTCCCCCTTAAATTGAAATGGCTTTGCCCTAATTTGTATTAATTCCATTATCATCCGAGGATTTGTAATCGGCATAATAAATTGTGCCTAAATCCACCTTACATGTGACTTTCAAAAGTAGTAAGGACATATCAATATGAACTTTCATTAGTTTCCGTTTTCTTGCGTACAACTGTACTTGGCACTTGGAAGGAATCTTTTGGCTACCCGCCACACGTGGCTGACGGATGGGTTGCCTACGTACGAGTATAAGAAGTTCCATTTTGAATTCACGAGGAAGAACGAAGACCTTTTCGACCTCGATTAATATACTATGAGAAGAACTTCATGGTCGCGCCATAGCTCAATCGGTTAGTCGCTGCCTTCCCAACGCGGCGCCCCGGGTTCGATCCCGGGTCTGGTCAAGTGGGATTTGTGGGGGACAAAGTGGCGCTGGGGCGGGTTTTCTCCGAGTACTTCAGTTTCCTCTGCCAATCTTCATTCCACAAAATTCTCTATCATCATAATCACCAGGGGTATGCTACAATAGGCCAATCAGTGGCTGCCGTGCCGAGTGGACCCTGTTGGACTCCACCTCCCACTAAGCGAAATGAGAAGAACTTACTTACAGAAAAATAGAATCTTCTTTGTAAGTACATATTCACATCTGAAAACATTTCGATAATATCAGAACACTCTTTTTGTCTCGTCTTTTATCCCTTTTTAGTTCATGCACATTTAAATTAGTCATGAAAAAACATAGTTTACTATCGTGGAAATTATAAGCGGGGCTGAAAAAGGGGGTAGGCCCCATCTATCTAATTCTATGCTCTTTTATAAGAACCTCTTTCCATGCGTAAAGTCGTTCACAATAACTTTCAAACCATCACTTACTGAAGTTGCGGAACTGGGAGATGACGCATTTTTCGTGAACCTGCATTGTAATAATTCCTCTCGTAATGTGTTTTCACCAATCCACAGAACGTGTAAGCTGAGGTCTGCACGACTACCTAGTTCTGAAAAGCCATGTCCACCCCTGGTTACAAAGTTTCTTAATGTCCGGCGGTAAAGTTATCTTTAAACAATACCAATTTAGTAACGGTTTATTCATGCACTCACTAATGACTCTAAAGCCTTTTCTTGAGCCCTGCCCCCTTCTTCAATTTCGTAATATATTTTTGCATAGACTGTAGGGCTCCTTGGACTAGTAATTAGTGACGGTTACTTTCCTTACATTTTGCAAATATAACGTAAAATTTTACCAGAATTACCTCCGTACTATTAAGTAACAACAAGGAATCCACGAACTTGATATGAACTTCCAAAACCTTTATTTTCGCCGTAGATTCTAGTCTATTTTCCTTATTTAGAAAACAAAAGGAGGCTTATCTCTGTTTATCTTCCCCTACAAACTGCTCCAGATAAGCAGCCTGAAGGAGGGAGCGGTTGGAGAACCGCGGTTAGCCTGTAGACTACTAGAGACGTGCAGAGGTAAGAGGGGAGTAATGCGACATATCGTATGAAAGCCGGAATAATGGAGCCAGAAGAGATGGCAGTTTCTAGGCAACGGTTCGGTAAACACGCGGTGTTTTCTACGCGGTCTGTGTCGTATCAAATAGAATAGGTGTAGTGAAAGAAAAGTAAGCAGTGATAGAATGATAACCGATTTTTCAGCATGGTATGGATGTTGGCTATTTGTTTAGCACCCTCCCCCCCTCCCAAAATAAAGCTTCAACCACGCTGGTTCTTAGCTAACTTCTCCTCAGACACAACCCAGAGACCAGATTTTAAAACGCAGCCAGCACTCACCATTGTGTATATTACGGAGTGTTTCTGAAGGGGATAAGCATTATCCTGGAAGAAACATTTTCGAATATGTAACTACAGAAACAAATAGGCAGAACAGATTCCGGCATGCATTCGCCCTCGTATTTCCTGGATTCCTCAAATCGCTGGACGACCAAGTGATACTGGGTGTACGTAACATCCATGCGGGTTGTGGAAGAAAGTGTTCGTAACTATTACTTAATAACATGATGGTATCTTATTCACTGCAATAGCGACACAAGGTGTTCTGTGTAGGTGTCATCAATTCTGCTTTACTGCTGTAGCCTTACGCATTTTCTGGTCTTAATATCTTAACTGTAACTATAATGCACAAATAGAATCTATATCTATTTTCACTATTCGTTGCTAGGTATCAGATCTAAAAAATGGTTATTCCTCTACAAATGTTCCCTAACCGTCTCTTAGCAAAGGATACTAACACAGGAACTATGACTGTCGTACCCCAGATATCACTGCACTACAGCACACATAAAGTCTTCAAATCACAGGTTAAGTCTTCACAGATCGACTTCTTCTACTACGAAATTCCCATGGATATCTCCTACAGAGAACTGACTCGTAGCGTCGACTGTCTTCAAGAAAACTCTCTGCACGTACCACATGGAAAACACCGTCTTCTTTTGTTAAGGATGCGTGTTTACACTTCCGTTGCCTGGCGATATACGTACTCTGTTCCGTGCATTTGCTCGGCACAGACTGCACAGAAAACACAGTTTCCCCTATATTGTTGTCGTGTACTTAAGGGGGTGTTTAACGGCCGTCGCATAGAAACGGCAGTTTTTCTATTGTTACCTGTCCTCTTTGCCGTGAGAATATTTACGGACATTCTTCTATTGTTATAGGAACGGCCCACATGTCACAACACACAATCGAGTTTGTAGGTATGATTATAATCTAGCGCCGTAACAAAATTTCACATGCCTAGATCTGTAGATTCATTATTTATTACCACCAAACCTAAACCTACACAGTACCCCTGCAACCTCAAAAGTCAGTGCGTTCGTTGCGTTGCTATCACTGATTGAAGGAAATCATAATGCACGTGGTTCTGATCGTCTCTAATGCCATGAATTCTAATAAATTCCGCTAAGATAGAAGTAGTTGTTATAGATGTAAATTTTGAGGTTTTCACGGCGATGACTATGAAGAAAGTCGTCTTCTGGGATGTGGCGCCGTGTATTCTTTGTTTTAGCCGACGTTTCGGAGGAACGTATCGCCTCCATCTTCAGGACAGGTGAATTGGCTTGCGAATGCAGAGTGCAGTAGCTGCACTCTGCATTTTTAGTTTCCTCCGAAACGTCGGTTGACACCACATATACACGGTGCCAAATCCCAGGAGACTGCTTTCTTCATAATCACGGCCGTGACAGCCTCAAATCTTACAAAACATAAAATTTATTGTAGAGCTCCTTTCCTGACACGAAAACATGCATAACGACATCTTTTCAATAATATATGCAGACATACCTTATTATGCGTTTATTTTAATCTTGCATAGAACATGTAGAGGAAGAACAACTGGAAAAAAGAAATGCTTGGTAGAGGTCCTTTAAATATCTCATGAACTTACTTGAAGGTTCTGAATATTTTACTTGGTTTCGGAGAACCTGAAATAGCTCTCTTCTCTTACGTGGGTTATACTATCCATTTACATGTGGGTCATCAATCCCTTTAGTTGAGAAGAACACATTAGATTACAGATGTGTTCGCGGCTGGCAAGACAGCAGATAACTTGACATCCTCTCCATGAATGTACCTAACGCTGGATCCAGTAAGTGAAAAGCTATGTCCACGTGTAGAGGCTTTGCTATAATAAAATAATTCCATGGAACAGAATTTTCTTCAAGGAACTGATAAAATTTCTGTCGTTTAAATGAGTGAAAGCAGCATAATGCGATTCTCAGCCAACATACAATTACAATGAACGCATTAACATAATTACGGCTAACTATAACTGAATTACACATAACAATGCATTATAATTAACACAAATATTGTAAACAAATTACAACTAAGCTGCAACCGAGTTGGAACTACCTGTGAGTTAATTACAATTTAGGTTGATTCACAATGACCGATATAGCAAAATCATAATGAAATCAATAACCGAAATACAATAACAATGTAACAGGGTTACAACTAGCACTTTAAACGGATTATAACCACAAATGTTACGATGACAGTAATTTAATTTACAGTTGACAGGTTATACTCGTGGCCCACCAAAAACTCTCATGCCTCCTTTGTTTGCTTAAGACCGTTTCAAGGGCACTATCCGCGATCATTACAAAAAAGAAATGGCAGGATATCTTAAATGAAACTACTGCTGTTTCTTTCTAAATACTTCCCAGGTCATTATAGAGTAATCATTCTTTCAGTCAACACAACATACTGCTAGCTACTGACATCATCTTTAAATATATATATATACTTATTAGTAAGACGGCAGAGGTTATGCAACATAGAGTGTAAATAGGCCTCCCCATAGCTCAAGCGGTTAGTCGCTGGCTTCCCACCGCGGCGGCCAGGGTTCGATCCCCGGGTCTGGTCAAGTGGGATTTGTGGTGGACAGTGTGGCGCTGGGGCAGGTTTTCTCCGAGTACTTCGGTTTCCCCTGCCAATCTTCATTCCACCAATTGCTCCACAAGCACCCTCACCTATCATCTGGGGCTGGTACAATAGGCCAGAAGTGGCCACAGTACAAGGGACTTAGTCCCACCCCACTAGTAATAACAAATATAGTGTAGATAGTGATCTTCAGAACAGCCAGTGAAGATGTCCAAACTTCAAGCACACTCTCTTTGAGAGTATGTGGGATGTAACGCTGTGTAGTCAGTTGTAAGCCAACCTACGTTTCGGAGGAATATTCAATCTCCATCTTTAGGGTTTAAAAATGAGTCAAACAAGAAAAAAGCCCAAAGCAAGTTGGATTTCAACGATTTGCACTCTTCATAACAACCGCTGTGAGAACTCAAAGCCTGCATATTTCTATGACTTCGGCCACTGTTGCGTGTAAGCGGCGGATGCGAGCCAAGGTTGCATAAGGCACCAGCTGCATGTCACGTAACTCTCTCTGTCTCTCTGTGTATGGGGACCTGCACATGGAAAACTGTTGGTCAGAAATCGAAAGGTTTTGATTTCTGTGTATATAAGGGGGAGGCATTCTCGGCACGTGCAGTGTCTGACAGGAGACATGGGGTGGTTCAACGGTATCTGCCGCATTCTGCTGGTGAGTGAGAAACATTTGCTTTCCCGATGGGAGGGTATCATGCGGTTGCGAATGTTCCCATTAGTGTCTGTATTTTTATATATTTTAATTGCGATTTCATACTTTTTTATTTCTAGTGGAGGGGGACTAAGTCCCTTGTACTGCGGCCACTTCTGGCCTATTGTACCAGCCCCAGATTATAGGTGAGGGTCATTGTGGAGCAATTGGTGGAATGAAGATTGGCAGGGGAAACCGAAATACTCGGAGAAAATCTGCCCGAGCGTCACTTTGTCCACCACAAATCCCACTTGACAAGACCCCGGGGTCGAACCCAGGTCGCCGCGGTGGGAAGCCAGCGACTAACCGCTTGAGCTAAGGCGCGGCCTAGATTTCATACTTAGTTTGGAATTATGCGAGATCTCTTGAATGCGTGAGATTTGCGGTTCTTATGAATGTGATCACAAATAATATATTTTAACCATGGCGGCGTGTAGTCTACCAGTATTTCACACGAACCTAATGTTTCCATCTTCAAGTTGTGCTCTAAAAACGGTACCATATTTCAGAAGACAGAAATTTTTTGTGAGCACGATAACTAACATTTTGGTTCATAACAAACTGGAGATTCTTTGACTGAGTAATTACCGGGTTTCCAAGAAGAACCCTTTTAGCATTTTTTTTATTGCTAGTGGGGTGGGACTAAGTCCCACGTACTGCGGCCGCTTCTGGCCTATTGTACCAGTCCGAGATGATAGGTGAGGGTGATTGTGGAGCAATTAGTGGAATGAAGATTGGTAAGGGAAACTGAAGTACTCGGAGAAAACCATCCCCAGCGCCACTTCGTCCACCACAAATCCCACTTGCAGACCCGGATCAAACCCGGGCTGCCGCGGTGGGAACCTAGCGACTAACACTTGAACTATAACGCGGCCAGAACTATTAATTAGACGAAAATTTCTATCTTCTGGGATGTAATGCAGTGTACTTCGCTGAAAGTCAACCAATAAATATATCGCCTTCAGCTTCAGGGGTGAAGAATAAGCCAAGCAAGTAACCAGCATGAAGCAAGTAGCAAAAATATTTTCATATTTCTTTTAGTAACTTGGTTACTTATTTATTTTATGTTCTTATAGTTGGAATGCTGAATTTTGAGAGTGTGTGTTTTGAATATTCCTCTGTTTGAAAGACATGAAATTATGACTGTTCTAAGGCTGACAGTGTGTCCGTCTTCAGAAAAAGAAACAGGTATATCATATTCTTAATGTAGCAGTTAATATAACAATTCTATAATAAACAAATCAGTACTACTGTACTAGTATTGTCTGTGGAAGTATTGCTACATGTTTATACCATCTCTGGTCATTATCAGGCAATCATTAAGTGGATATGACACTCGTCATTGGATGCAGACTGATGTATAAATTTTCACTCGGTTTACGATGACGCATAGTCACGGTTATGAGTGATTTTGTTTTGTATGTTGCAGCTCATTTCCTTTGCATCATTCTGCACAAGTTTCCCGGCAACGAATGAAAACTTCACAACCAAAACAAATGCCACGGATCCTAACTTTGTAGCCATCATTCTGCAGGATCCCAGCCCAGCTAAAGGTATCAAACTCGATACTGTTCAAAGCCGGAAGTTGGGCGAGATCTTCAGCTGGTTAATACCTCTCTTCTCCTCAGCAATTCAGACTGCAGGAGGCGCCGTTAGCAACGCCGGTACGGCAGCAGGAAGCCTCACAAATTCCATATTCGGTCAACAGTCGTTCGCATATCCGTTTCCGTTCAGGAGATGATTTCTGTATACATCATCGAAATGCATGTTCATAAATCAGTTGTTCTTAACATATTCTGACATTGTGAAAAGCAAACAGCAGTGGAATTTCTTTGAACACTTCGTAATGTTGAGGCATAAAATATTGGCATTTCTCACAAGTGCTGAAATAGTTTCTCAGCTATGCCACTAGGTGGCAGCTATAAGCAGATATTGAGAAAGACGGATACAACGGATAATGACGATTCGGATCTTTCTATAAGTGAAATATTTTTAGCGTCGTTTCAGTGGCATTATGTTGATCTGCCATTGAAATTCTATCAAATTTAAGAGTTGCAATGTGGCATAATATTGTCATCTACCATAATTATACATTTGTTAAGTGTAAGAGTGAGTAATATTAAATATTATTTAATAAAATTATTTGTTTTTTCTTTTTTAATCAATGTTCAAGATATTCAAAAAATAGGTCCAGGTATGAAGCTTCTTGTGATCTTTCGTAAAAAAAAGCTTAATTCTTTACGGTGAGGAGTTGTTAGCTCCACGCCCGATCCTGAAGCTGGAGTACCACCCCTTGTCTGCTACTTACTCACTACATCGCAGCCACCCTCCATACCTGGAGGCCGTCTCCTCCATCCACATCCTGAGGACGCGCCGTGCCATGGTGACAAGAGACCCACATGGCTAGTATCCTCATTACTAATCGAACTTGGTTTTGTAATTTACAGAGCAGAAAAATGTAGCAACATGTAGCTCAACTTAAAATGACTGATTAATTCTTACGTTACTTAACTGCGCTATTTCCACAGTAAGGATCATACAGTGTGAAATTAAATTTTAAAATGATCATGGTTATTAACTGTATAACGCTATGAAGACGTCTGTGGCCTGTTTGAAGTTACTGCACTGTCCTTTGCAGATGCAAGTTACTATTACTCACCCTATACATGATATTTAACTTGCCGTTATCGATCCACTGTCTTGTTTTACTGCAGATGACGACAATTCAGGGGGACGCTGAACTGCCCTTTCCTTTATATGAGATAAGGAGAAAGGGTGGGTGATACAGATGCAGTTTGAAAGAGGTCATTCGGATTAATAACACAACAAAGCCAGTGCATAAACCGTACAATTGCACCTGTTCTCACTGTCGCTTGCGGATTTTCTTATTTTCCTTCTACCCTGAAGATGGAGGCGATTTCCTCCGAAACGTCGGTTAACACCATATCTACACGGTACCACATCCCAGAAGACTGTTTTCTTATAGTCACCGTCGTGAAAACCTCAAATCTTAGGTTCATTTGTGAATGACACCATGTATTCTACTAGATATTTGCCAAAGTTTCGGAAGGGCCTGCTATGTCCAACTTCAGGATGAAGGGAGAGACAGCAGGTTCCTCCGAAACGTTGCTAACTAAATAGGAGACTCCATATTGTTACAACTCAAAAGATCATAAATTGAATTTCAGAACACACTGTATAAAATGTGTCCATAACACAGCGGGACAGGCAAGAATTAAAAGTTGTAGAGCAGCAAAACAATGCACTTATTTTGCGACGTAATGACATGCAAGGCATGGAGTGGGTCAGTGAGAGCCAGTGTGATTTGAATACGTAACGAGCAGCCAATCATATCGTCAGTTTCTCTTTCGCCAAAGTCTACGAAGTCAGAATATTAAAAAATATTGCTGCAGTATACTGCACAGACTTTCTTTTAATGGTAAGTTTGCAATGTCGCCAACATGCACAAATCTCTTAACCCTTTAAACGATGAAGCTCATCTAAACATTAAATGTCTACTTCCCAGAAGATATTATAACACATCTGCTTAAAAACTGTGGAGCCAGGAAAACAGCCGTTGCTAGAGAACGGCTCTGAAGAAATATTCGTTTCCAGGCAACGGTCGCGAAACAAACAACGGAACGACGTCCGTTGCTAGGCAGCATATTCTTAATAAGCAAGATTAGACGGCTACTGCATGGGAACGACTCCGTAAACATATTCCCTAGGCAACGAATACTCATACGAGAATGAACGGCGTTGTCTGAGCGGGCCGTGTCGAGGAGTTATAAGGAAGACAATTGGGGCAACCGAGTCAGTTCTGTACGGGAGTCTGTGAAGAAAACAGGCAGTTGGAACACAGCCGCCAATCAGAGAGGACTTGTGAGCGGTAGCTGAAGAATCTACTGCTAGAAGCCGTTACCAGGGAACAGCTGGTGAAGACACAGCAGGCTGAAAAAGACTTAGAGTGTGCTGTTGTGATTGGTAAAATGTGTAGATTAGCCATGGAGATGTAATTGCTTGTAGTTCCGAGTTGTGTGTATAAGTAGTCAATAAATCCGATATCCATTCCAAACCCCCGTCTATAGTCACTCTAAATCGTGACAAATGGTTACACTGGAATCATACACAGACACGTGACAGTATACGACATTACCTCACAGGAAACACATTACGTCTCCGCTACAGAGGCCAACCGGTTACTGCTGTTTACTTTGAGAATCGCAATATGCAAACAAATACACCTTGTGCAGAATGCAGAGTTTTAGTGTGTTCAGTCCGTACCTCACAGGAAACACATTACGTCTCCGCTACAGAGGCCAACCGGTTACTGCTGTTTACTTTGAGAATCGCAATATGCAAACAAATACACCTTGTGCAGAATGCAGAGTTTTAGTGTGTTCAGTCCGTACCTCACAGGAAACACATTACGTCTCCGCTACAGAGGCCAACCGGTTACTGCTGTTTACTTTGAGAATCGCAATATGCAAACAAATACACCTTGTGCAGAATGCAGAGTTTTAGTGTGTTCAGTCCGTACCTCACAGGAAACACATTACGTCTCCGCTACAGAGGCCAACCGGTTACTGCTGTTTACTTTGAGAATCGCAATATGCAAACAAATACACCTTGTGCAGAATGCAGAGTTTTAGTGTGTTCAGTCCGTACCTCACAGGAAACACATTACGTCTCCGCTACAGAGGCCAACCGGTTACTGCTGTTTACTTTGAGAATCGCAATATGCAAACAAATACACCTTGTGCAGAATGCAGAATTTTAGTATGCTGAAGCATCTGGTGCAAACATCACAGCCAGGTTCTTATAAGTTCATCACCCTACCAACAAGCGCTCTATTATCTGAGTTACTGAAGGAATTGTTATATAAAACATAAATAAAATACACAAGAAAGAAGCGCGGTGTGGGCAATCTGGTGACATCGGAAGCCACGTAAATAGTTATACCGCTAGTTTGATTTAATATTCGCGGATTGAAATAAACTTCCCAGTGACCCACATTCGAGTAACGAACCATGAATTGCCAATTACTTGATAAGTGTTTTGGAAACGTTCAGAAAACGAAAGTGTGACTGACTAATGAACGCCATTACTGCTATCTGACAATGCAAGGGACGTGATGTGATAAACAAGTTTCAGAAGCGGAGCTGCTGAACAACAGCGCGAGCGTTGCCACAAATAACAACTTCAGGTCATGCTGACAACACTGTTGGTTCTTATGTTGTTTGAGAAGGTAAGTTCTTGCAACAGTTTCCAATTCAAACATTTAATGATACTGTATCAGAGAATATTTGAAATATCCACGATAATTTTAAGAAGTACCGCGTTACGAACTAGTTATGCCACTTCATTTTCTTCTTATTCGTGTGCCTTTTGGTATAAATTATTACCAGTAAGAGGATACCTGTCTCGCAATCTCATTATCAATTTAAAGTACAAAATTCGCATAGTGCAAATTAAATCCATGCGTTACTGTAGCTTGATTTGTGGGTTTTGAAGACGCCGTCAACAGCTTGTATGTGATTCTGTATAGTGTGAAACTTGGTCTCTGACATTATGTGAGGAACATAGACTGAGGGTGTTTGAGAACAGGGTGTTGAGGAGAATATTTGGACCGAAGAGAGATGAAGTGACGGGAGGTTGGAGAAAACTGCATGATGAGGAGCTTCATAACTTGTACTCTGCTCCAAGTATAATTAGAATGATCAAATCAAGGAGGATGAGGTGGGCAGGACATGTAGCGCGAATGAGGGGGAGGTGGAATGCATATAGGATATTGGTGGGAAAGCCAGAATGAAAGAGACTATTAGGAAGACCAAGACGAATGTGGGTGAATAATATTAAAATGGATCTCAGACAAATACGATGGAGTAGTATGGACTGGATTGATCTAGCTCATGATAGAGAGCAGTGGTGTGCTCTTGGGAACATGGAAATGAACCTTGAGGTTCCATAAAATGTTAGGAAGTTCTTGAGTAGCTGCCCAATTGGCGGCTTCTCAAGAAGGGTTCAGATCCAATCACTGTTAGTTACTCAGTCAGTTGGTTAATGATCACTGAAATGGTGAGGATGTGGAAGGAAACAGCCGTGGCTTAATTTTCATCACCTGAGTGCTGGAGTGTACTATACCCATCAACATCAGTTTCTGGGAAACGTGGTCTGAAATCAGGGAATCAACTGTAGTTTGTGGCTCAGAACAAATCGCATTCTGAAATCTCACACTTACAAACAAGGCAAACCCATATAAGCATGTGGCGATAGTGAAACATAATGCGGAAAATCAGAAAAGTGCATTGTCTCACTTTCACCCAAATGCGGAAAGAGAACAAACCAATATTCAGGAGACGATTTGCTTGAGGAGGGGGGACTTGGGAAAAACACGAAAATCCTCAATGAAGGTAGTCTGTGTTCCGACTGAGATTCGAACACGACACTTCCCGAATGTAGGTCAAAAGGGCGAACTTGAGTTGATGCGCAATTATAAAACAAAATCTTACATTTCTGTTAAAAACCTTACTTACTTACTTATGGAGCTCAGCCCTTCTTGAGGAGAAGCCAAATATGAAGCTACTCAAGAATTTCTCAGAATTTTATGGAACCCGAAGTTTCATTACCGTGTTCACAAGAGCCTTCCACTGGTCCCTATCCTGAGCCAGATTAACCCAATCCATACCATCGTATCCTATCTCTCTAAGATACATTTTAATATTGTTCACCCACCTACGCCTTGGTCTTCCCAGTGGTCTCCTTCCTTCTGGCTTTCCCACCAATATCCTATATGCATTCCTTTTCTCCCCCATTCGTGCTACATGCCCTTCCCACCTCATCCTGCTTGATGTGATCATTCTAATTATAGCTGGAGAAGAGTACAAATTATGAAGCTCCTCATTATGCTAGCACCGAAAATTTTGAAAAGGGAGTGAAAATCAGTCTGCTTGCTGCTTTTGAGAATTATCTTTGATCCTGAGGATGAAGGCAAGATATTCATCCGAAGCGTCTCTAACGTCTATGATACTATACGGCATTTCATTTCATGAGAAAGACGGTTACTCCTCAAGTAATACATTGATTTTTATCTGCAATAAATTAACTTGCCAACTTCGGAGTAATACAAATTCGAGCTGAAAACGTTTTTCAGAGCACGGCAGGAGAAGAATGTGTGTTTCGTGTTGGCAAATGTGTACAGTTCTAAACAAACCTGTAACAGACATACGATCCGCGAGAATTCAATGATATGTCATGCTGTTAATAATAAATGTTACAATCTGAATATTGCAGACAACATTGGGGGCCACGGTATACCCCACTGGGGTCCCAATTTACTCCGATTCGTTCATCCCTGCGGCTGCGCAAGTGGTGTACTACGTGATTGAGCACACTGGGGACTTGAGTAACACCCCTCCAGAAACAGGTAGGCTCTCTCCTGATAATAACTATAGGGGGAGTACGTGCCAATGGGCAATACCGAATTGAAAAGAGCGGCTCGCGTCCAATCACCGAAGTTAAGCAACATTGAGCCTGGTTAGTACTTGGACCGGTGACCGCTTAGGAACACCAAAAGATACTGGCGTTCATTTTATGCTCCAAATTGCGAACAACGGGAGGGGGAGAAAGAAAGAGAGGTGTATTGCTTGATCGAGCACATCAAGGAAAATATGATCTCCCATCTAGGAACAGGTATGAATTGCAATTATTAGAGTTTATAATTACATTGCCGATATTAATAGAACCGGGTAGCCCAGTCAGAGTATGGGGACTTCGTATGGAGTGGGCGACCGGAGGATTGGTGTTTGATTCCCGGCTAGGCTAGTGTTTTCAACCTATACATAGGTCTTCATTCGTCTCTGCCGCCCCCTCATCCTCTCATCGAGGGGGTATCGGATGCTATTTTCAAGCATTAAGCGGGTGGCTAAATTAGCGCTGAAGATTAGGAAAGACTGGAACTAAGCCTCCACAAGAAGGCTAAGGCTCATAATGGGCTGTAGTGCCAACTTTTTACCTTTACCTGTCAACGGTTATTAGGATCGCTATTGTTACGATAATAAAATATATGAGGTTACGAGGGCTGGAAATGAAGCTGGGATCAAGAGACAAGAAGTTCATATAAAATTTTGGTGGTTAAATATTTCGAAAACAGTGTCTGAATTCAGTAGCAGTTTCCTCTATTCTATCTCTCTTTCTTTCTAGCACTTTCCACTAAATTACTTAATCATTTAACATTTAAACAATCAGCTCTTACATCACAGAAAACACAACGTGCCTCCATTACAGAGACCAACCACTTCATGTTGTTTAGGGAAATAGTAATTGCTTATATTTGATTTGAGGTTCTTACAGCGGTGGTCATGAAGATTTATATCTTCCGGGATATAACTCAACTTCCAACGGACTACACGGTGTTATATCCCAGAAGACAGAAATGTTCAACTGTTACGTATTACGAATATGAAACTTATGACTGCATTCTGCATGAAAAATTTTGAGATGTTTAATGCTAAAGTAGTTGATAATTTTGCATAAGATAACCAGTGTGACTCAAATTATCTTCCGTAGTAACCTCAAAGCGCCCATCTTGGGAAACGCCACTGAAAATTCCTGATGAGAAGAACAATGAGGAGGGTCAAGGAGCGAAGCCTCTTGCGCGAACACACAGAGAACTTCTAAACCTGCACAACGCGCTCATCAGGGAGGCCAAACTTCAGGGCATTGCCAAATACCAGGTGAGAACATTATGAGCTTTCAACAGCGTGCACTTGGGCTGAAGGCTCGGTCGCTGCCCCTGTCAAGTCGGACCAACACGTAGCACATAATAAAAATGTTATTTGCTAGGATTTGAGAACGTGTAGATCCGTAGAAGTTAAGCAAGGTTTCGGAAGAAAGAACTGCCTCAATCTTCAGGATCGAAATTCAGAAGAAGCAAATGGAGCAAGCCTAACCTAGAAAGAGGGTTCAGATATAGGTCTGGAAATGAGACACGATGTCTTCTGAAACAATGGTGAACTTCTACCTGACTACACGGTGTCACATTCCAGAAGATCGTACTCCTCATAGTTGAGAATTTCAAGTCCAACATAACACATAAGTTTTTTTCACGGAAAACTCGTCACATAATTCGATAGCCGTTTATATACTGTGTAAACGTAAGAAGTATCAACGGTCTATCTGTGCTTTAGCGTCATGAAATTATACGCGGGCCTACATGTCAAAAGAAAAGGAATTTACTGCAAGATAAACCGATAAATGTTAAAGCTCTGTAAAGACTTAATCGAGAGGAAGATATTCTAAACAGGCGAGGCTAAAATTTTATCATAATTTAATGAATCACCCTACGAACGGTCAGCTCTCTCCGTTTCGAAACAGCATTGGCCGAAAGTCACATATGGGCCAGATTCTTGGTCAGTTTGATGTCCTGCAATTATTATTCCGCTAGGCATACACGTACATGAACTCCGAGCGTTGTAAGCTACCGAAAGCTTGTACTCTTCGATGTCTGGATTTGATGTGAGACTGACCGAATTGCGTCTTAGCTACGTCAGAAGCAGGTGCAGTCGGGATCATTAAATCGCGACTCCACTATGCGAGGGAGAGTCAGTAAATAGTCATAAATGAAAGTAAAACAGTTGTAATGTATGTAATAGGTTTTCTATGTCTATCACTAGGTAGCAGCACAATCCAACTTCATGAGAGTCTAGGTAGCTGGTGCGCATGAGCATGTTCAGAAGCTGGTTTCGGTAGTAAAAATGGCGACCGTGTTTAGGCATGTACTACCGAAGAGCAGCGATCTGTTGTGCGTTTCTATGGGCCAAAGGACTCACTGCAGAGGGTATTCATAAAGAAATGTTTCCTCTTTATGGTGGGAAGTGTTTGTCGCGTTAAGCGGTTCACAACTGGGTCAAAGGCGATGGCAAATATTTCGCTGACGGTGAAGTGGTTAAAAAGGAAGTGAGGAAATGGTTGAGACAACGGTCAAAAACATCTATGCTGTGGGTTTCGATACACTGGTAATGAGAAGGGACAAGTGTATCAGTGTTAATGGAGGATATGTCGAGAAATAAATGTTTGTTCCAGGTTCGAATATCACATTTTTTACGATTTATATCCACATGTTACCTATTTACTGACTTTCCCTCGTATTTTTTGTTAGCGGGTCAGAGAGTTATTCAGCCAGTCAGCCGTACAAATGGCTGATCAGTTTGGAAGTCAATGAACTGGCCACTTCTCTGTAACACCGAAAACATTTCCCAGGCATGGTTCTCTTTGCAGGGTTTCTCAGAAGAAGTACTGTCCGTCCTGCGCGAGACATCTATGACAACCTCAGAGGAACAGCTGAGAACTGTCCTGCAAGAGGCGCTGTCGCGAGGTCACATCAAGCGTGCCGATACCAAGGACATGGCCGCCAAAGTCATGGCCTACTTAGACGATCCGGACAGCGATCTTCGCAAAGCCATGGCCAACTTGAAACCACTTCAGTATACATAAGATGTAAGACTTGTACTAAACATGCCTTAGGATAGATTAGTATGATAGAATAAATAAGTAGATAAATAAATAAACAGAAATCTTCTCTTCCAGAGCAGTCGGTAGTTATTTAGATATTCAAGAATTTCCTTTATGAACGTAAAGATTCCTGACGTTCTTCACAGGAGCTGACAACTATTATTTTGTTGTTGAATACGCAAAAAATTAACAGGAAGCACTGGGCCACGCCATAGCTCAAGCGGTTAGTCGCTGGCTTCCCACCGCGGCGGCCCGGGTTCGATCCCGGTTCGGGTAAAGTGGGATTTGTGGCGGACAAAATGGCGCTGGGGCAGGTTTTCTCCGAGTACTTCGGTTTCCCCTGCCAATATTCATTCCACCAATTGCTCCACAATCACCCTCACACATCATCTGGGCTGGTACAATAGGCCAGAAGTGGCCGCAGTACAAGGGACTTAGTCCCACCCCACTAGCAATAAAAAAACAGGACGCATATTATGACAGAATTGATTTAAATACTTCCTGTTATATCCATGAAGATGCGAATTCAAGAAATCTTATACGCGTACTGCTGTCGTATTTTATACACGGACCTATCAAATGTCCACCTGCGTTATCGTATGGGCATCTGGTTTGAACTCTAGGAGCAATTTTACTGAACTGGCTGTTTATATGGACATTTCCTGCGTTTATGTTGTGAAGACGAAAGGAAAGTTCAGACCTTCATAAACTGTTTCACATTCCAAGACAAATACTAACACATCCAGCAAATTCTCCTATACATAGAAAGATTTGTAACGGCGAGTGAAAGTTCTGAAATTATGCAGTATTGGGTTACCATAGCAATGAATTTTCGAGCGTCAGCACGTTGCATGAATGTAAGTTATATTGTAAAAGGTAAAATGGTAAAGTTGTCCTCTGTGCTTAACTAATTAAGCACTACGCCATGAAGGCGTATGGGTGAGTGAATGTATGGGTCCACATTTTTCTTGACATCGGCAATAGTTGGAGGTAAGTGGTCAGCTTCATGCCGCAGCCGCTTTACCACCGGCGAAAGAGCCCCCGGTACCCTTTGGATAGCAGGCTGGGTGGACCCCAAAACCTGTCCAGACGACGTGGAGTACAGCAAATTATTTTCCGTACCGGAACTCCTTAACTCCGACTTCTCGGTCTTCCATCTCGTAACCAGTCGCTATACCGACTGCGCTCTTTCGGCTCGGTGGATTTCGAAAATGCAAACTTTCTTATGACAGCCAGTGGTCTCAAAGAGAACACACATTGAAGCAAAAAAAAAAGAAAGAACTAAGCTTTCGAACCCCACTGCNCGCAGTCGGTATAGCGACTGGTTACGAGCTGGAATACCGAGAAGTCGGAGTTAAGGAGTTCCGGTATGGAAAATAATTTGCTGTACTCCACGTCGTCTGGACAGGTTTTGGGGCCCACCCAGCCTGCTATCCAAAGGGTACCGGGGGCTCTTTCGCCGGTGGTAAAGCGGCTGCGGCATGAAACTGACCACTTACCTCCAAATATTGCCGATGTCAAGAAAAATGTGGACCCATACATTCACTCCCCCATACGTCTTCATGGCGTAGTGCTTAATTAGTTAAGCACAGAGGACAACTTTACCATTTTACCTTTTACAATATAACTTACATTCATGCAACGTGCTGACGCTCGAAAATTCATTGCTATGGTAACCCAATACTGCATGATTTCAGAACTTTCACTCGCCGTTACAAATCTTTCTATGTATAGGAGAATTTGAATTCTGTTAGCTCTGACATGATGCACTAAAACTGCACAGAACACTGTCTCGACAACAAATGAAGTTTGCAACGTCTTGCGGAGGTTGTACAGGTAGTGGTGTTGGGCAGATACGGCAGCGTCACTTAAAAACGTCGCTAAAATAAACATTTAAATTCAGGCATGCATTTCACGAGGTGTTTCCATATTTTTGTTCATCCCCTGTATATTGAAGGATATTTACATTACATGGATATTACAAACAGTTCTCTTCCTTGAACGGTAAGCATGTTTTAGGTTTTCACGTTTACTAAAAAATTACTAAGCTAACATAATACTCGTATATTATGGTAGTTTAGTATATAAATGTGACTCTTTAAATTTATAAAGACTCCTCTCTTTTGGGATGTGAAGCCGTCTTGTCTGGTAGAAATTTGCCAATATTTCGGACGAACCTATAGTATGTCTTCCGGCTAGTATTTATATTTTCGCATAATGGGGTGTGGAGTCCAGCTGGGTCCACTAGGCACGGCGGCCACTGATTGGCCTATTGTACCTGTCCCAGGTGAATATGATGATAGAGAATTTGGTGGAATGAAGATTGGCAGGGGAAACCGAAGTACTCGGAGAAAACCTGCCCCAGCGCCACTTTGTCCACCACAAATCCCACTTGACCAGACCCGGGATTGAAACCGGGCCGCCGCGGTGGGAAGCGAGCGACTAACCGCTTCAGCTATGGCGCGACCTTCAGGTTAATATAGTCTACTACACTCGAGATGGAGTTGCAAGTTCCTCTGAAACTTTAGTATATTTCTACTAAACTAAACGACGTCACGTCCCGTGATGAAGCTATTTTCAAAAACTGCAGGTTTCTGTAATAGTATTAAAGCAGATGTTAAAGTCACTGCGATGGTGCAGAGATTGCAGTAATCAGTGCGGAGTATATCCCCCACGAGAGTCCAACTACAGAGCCTATGATCTCAAGAAGGATGACTAAAACTTCCTCGATGCTCAGGCCGTCATCTCGTATCTCGGTCCTGTTACGAGCAGCGGAATAGAGTTTGTGGATCACGTGACGAACTCCCTCCTGGAACTGTTCTTCAGGCTCCAATTTCTCGAACATTCTCGTCTCTCGCTGGTGCGAGCATCTCGAGGTGATGACGTCCTGCGAGAATGGTTCGATATCTTGTTAAGTGCTCAATCGATAAAAGTTCGTGTGATTTGAGGAACTATGAAGTGCACTGTCTTCTGGGATATAAAGCAATGTCGTGCAGGACCTTCGCTGTGACCATCTTTACGAGAGATGATGTGCTACAAGATCAATGAACAAGAAGCAAGCACTGCCTGTGATATACCAGATCCTGAATATGGAGATACGGTTCTCTTTCCCGAAACGTCAGCGAGATTCTATATTTAAAGCATTCTTGCTGTATGTCTATTCAATATGGACTCTAATTTATATTAAGCTCAAATTAAACGTAACTGTTGTTCTTAAAGTGGTTTATCCTGTTATAAAAATTAAATCCGATTATCTATAATTGAAACAGTTTTCAATACGGTTAACATATAACTAGGTAAAAGCGGCCTCCGTAGTCTAGGAGTAACGTTCCCACCTCATGACTCAAGGTACGCGGGTTCAAACCTGGCGGAGGTCGTGGAATTTTTAAGGGCGGAAAAATTCAGGGAACAAGTCCTCCGGGAGGGACTTTAAGCCGTGTGTCCCGTGTCGTAGATTTACGGCACGTAAAAGAACCTCATGTCTCTAGGAGACCTCTGAGCTAAATCACAGGCCCTTTCCCGCCCAAGTAGTCTCCAATGCCTCTGGTGGATGGGGGATGCATCAAGGTACCGGGGGCCGACCTCGTTGGCTCTACGGGGGCTGATGGCACGCACCGTTACGGGCAGGGTGTGGCGACAGTAGAAATTAAAAGTGGGACGGACAATGGACCAATAACTGGTCTAAGTGCATGGGGAAACCCACCCCCTCTCATAATACATACAATACATACATAACTAGGTAAAAATTGTGATGATTTATATTTAAGTTCACCAGAATATATATAAAGTGAATTAGCTTCAGAGTTACATATATATAGAAGGGGTTGATCTTGTGGTAACTTTCCATAATTATCATATATTGTGAATATTATTTCTTCGAATTTCTCCCGGGATCCCAATGGTTCTGTGTGAAAATATTCATTGTTCTCCTCAGTCTCTCCTGCCAAATTCCGGGACAGTATCTCGGTAAATCAACACCGCCTCCTACTAAATCCTTTCCAATTCATACGATACCATCATGTCTTCCGGCTCTATATATTTTCGGTACTGGGAGTGTCGTTAGAGAATCAAGTAAAACAACATATATTTACATCTACAAAAAAAATGAACAGCAGAACAATTAATCGCATGAAGACATGAAGAGTTTTCTTATAAAATATGCAGCTTAAACCTACGCAGATCTTGTAACACAACTATACTACAAGCCGGAAGGTCACGGTTTCGATCCCCGATAAGGCAATTGGATTCTTTTTTATTTACGTAATCATTCCAGTCGCACTATGGCCCTGAGATCGACTCAACCTCCAACTGAAATGAGCACCAGGAATTTTCATGGGGAAAAGGGCAGCGGGCGCGTAGGCCTTACAACTTTACTGCCATCTGTGAACCGGCTGTCTAGAAAACGTTGGAGGCTCGATGTCTCACAACCCTATGGCCTTCCGCGATCTTTTACCATGATAGTTTCGGAGTTCTCCCAGCGAAGATTACGAAGAGTTATATCTGATTGTCTCATTTCTTTGCACGAAACTCTTAAAACCGACAGCGAAATTACGTAGAACTATTCTACAGTTAGCTATAAAATATCTACGCAGCTGACACAATAATGAACCTCTACCTCACTTTCCAGTGTGGTGATATATCTTGTAATTCTTATTTATGTCCTCATAGTAGCCTCTGAATACGGTTTCCTTGACGTACTTACGTTTAAGATGAAGACTAAGAGGATGGTTGATATTTTCGAAAATATCTTCATGATCAAGTTCTCGATCTCTCTTTTGAAGCCTTTCCTCTGTTTAATTCAGTATTGTCAGAGAGGTAACAGGCGGGTTCTGTATGATATTACAAGCGAAACCATTTAAATTAAATACACAGCTGGAATTAAACTGGCTGTATTACAGGGAGAGCTCAGTATTTATGGACGAGTATTGCAGAAATCGATATAATACGTAAATTAACTAGTTCAGAAGAAAAGGTCACGTCGATTTAGCTTATACAAAAATGGCATTAGGGACAATTTATTTACAAAATTAGGGTAAATATATTATTAAAAAAGATAACTTTGTCCCTGAGCTTAACTAATTAAGCACTACGCCATTAAGGTGTATGGGGGAGTGAATTTATAGATCCACATGTTCTAGATCTCGGCACTAGCTGGAGGTGAGTGGTCAGCTTCACGCCCCTGCTGCTTTACACCCG